TATTATTATTATTATTATTATTATTATTATTATTATATTATTATTATTATTATTATTATTATTATTATTATTATTATTATTATTATTATTATTATTATTATTATTATTATTATTGTTGTTGTTGTTGTTGTTGTCATTTATTTTGGGACGATGGTTAAATCTCAGAAGACGATTGTTTAAACCATCCTCGGAGTTAAACAATCGTCTTTAGGAGTTAAACCATCTCCCCAGAGTTAAACCATCTCCTCAGAGTTAAACCATCTCCCCAGAGTTAAACCATCGTCCTCAGAGTTAAACCATCGTCCTCCAGAGTTAAACCATCGTTCTCAGAGTTAAACCATCGTTCTCAGAGTTAAACCATCATCTTCCAGAGTTAAACCATCGTCCTCAGAGTTAAACCATCGTCCTCAGAGTTAAACCATCGTCCTCAGAAAACCATCGTCCTCAGAGTTAAACCATCGTCCTCAGAGTAAACCATCGTCCCAGAGTTAAACCATCGTCCTCAGAGTTAAACCATCTCCTCAGAGTTAAACCATCTCCTCAGAGTTAAACCATCGTCCTCAGAGTTAAACCATCGCCCTCAGAGTTAAACCATCGTCCTCAGAGTTAAACCATCGTCCTCAGAGTTAAACCATCGTCCTCAGAGTTAAACCATCGTCCTCAGAGTTAAACCATCGTCCTCAGAGTTAAACCATCGTCCTCAGAGTTAAACCATCTCCTCAGAGTTAAACCATCGCCCTCAGAGTTAAACCATCACCCTCAGAGTTAAACCATCACCCTCAGAGTTAAACCATCGTCCTCATCCCATTAAGATCATTTTTGGGGGCTATTAAGCAGCGCCTCTCATTATAACCAAGACGTAACTCAAGACTAGAAAGGAACGTCGCCTCCCACCTCCTCATTATGGAGTGTAACGTGAGCCGGGGGTGGAGAGAACCCGCTTCCTATCACTGTGTTCTTAAGTTACTTCAATACAGTTAACGGTGAGATATTTTTAGAGCCATTGATTAGTAAGGTGGTTATTGGCCACTAAGTGTAAAGGTGGTGATGATGATGATGATGATGATGATGATGATGATGATGATGATGATGATAATAATGATAATAATAAATAGAAGAAGAAGAAGAACCCTTGTAACTATCCCCACACTCGTTAATCCCCCAGGACCCCCCAGCACACGAAATCCTTAAATCCTTCACTAAACTCACCTGGACTTCAATGACATCTGAATCAAAGTACAAGACGAAGAAAAAAAGTTTGTTCCTGACAATATCGTCTCCGACCATCTTGGGATAAAGTTAGGGTAAAAGTTTGTTAAGTGTGAAGGGTTCCGATAATCCTCGTCTTGTTGGGTTAGGTTAGGTTCCTGAACAACGTAAGATTGAAGATGGTGGGGTTGATAGGTAAGGGTGTGTGGGTAGGTTAGTTAGGTTAGGTTAGGTCCCACCCAACCGTGCCTCACCACCCCACCTCACCGTGCCTCACCACCCCACCCCACTGTGCCTCACCACCTCATCTCACCGTGCCTCACCCCATCTCACCGTGCCTCACCACCCCACCCCACCGTGCCTCACCACCCCATCTCACCGTGCCTCACCACCCCACCGTGCCTCACCACCCCACCCCACCGTGCCTCACCACCCCACCGTGCCTCACCACCCCACCGTGCCTCACCACTCTAGTCCATATAGCAAGAGCTGGGACGACTATATGTTTGTTTATATTGGGTTCCAGTTTGTTATATAAGGGGTGGTGGGGGTGTGTGTCTGGTCTCTGTGGCAGTGGATGTTTGGATGTTTGTCTTTTGCATTTTCAGGTGTTTGTTTGTTTTGTGTTTGTGATAGATGTGGTGATTGTTTGTGTTGCTTGCTATGTTTTGAGAGGTAGAGGTTGTTTGTGCTGTATTGTTTGCTGTGTTTATGGTTGATGAAGTTGTTTGTGTTGTTGTGTTTACTGTGGTCCAAATATTATTATACCTCAACATAGCCCTGATATTGTAGTTCAGGGAAGGAGGGGGAGAGAAACAGGGCCGTAAAAATCTAACCTTGGTATGGTACTTCCTGGCCCTGAGAACCCACTGAGTCGAAGGTTGGGATATATGTAAGTGGCTGTACGGCGGGCGAGGAGGATGATGTTGAACCGCCCACGCTTGTCTATTGTGGTATTGAACGTGAGGTCATCTCATTACTCAGTCTGCTTCCCACCGCTGCCACCATTACTACTGCTGCTACTGTTCTGTACTCAGGCTGCCCCGCTGCCACCATTACTACTGCTGCTACTACTGTTCTGTACTCAGGCTGCTTCCCACCGCTGCCACCATTACTACTGCTGCTACTGTTCTGTACTCAGGCTGCTTCCACCGCTGCCACCATTACTACTGCTGCTACTACTGTTCTGTACTCAGGCTGCTTCCCACGCTGCCACCATTACTACTACTGCTGCTACTGTTCTGTACTCAGGCTGCTTCCCACCGCTGCCACCATTACTGCTGCTACTACTGTTCTGTACTCAGGCTGCTTCCACGCGCACCATTACTACTGCTGCTACTGTTCTGTACTCAGGCTGCTTCCCACCGCTGCCACCATTACTACTGCTGCTACTACTGTTCTGTACTCAGGCTGCTTCCCACCGCTGCCACCATTACTACTGCTGCTACTGTTCTGTACTCAGGCTGCTTCCCACCGCTGCCACCATTACTACTGCTGCTACTACTGTTCTGTACTCAGGCTGCTTCCCACCGCTGCCACCATTACTACTGCTGCTACTGTTCTGTACTCAGGCTGCTTCCCACCGCTGCCACCATTACTACTGCTGCTGCAACTGTTCTGTACTCGGCTGCTTCCCACCGCTGCCACCATTACTACTGCTGCTACTGTTCTGTACTCAGGCTGCTTCCCACTGCTGCCACCATTACTACTGCTGCATACTGTTCTGTACCAGGTTGCTTCCCACCGCTGCCACCATTACTACTGCTGCTACTGTTCTGCTCAGGCTGCTCCCACCGCTGCCACCATTACTACTGCTGCTACTACTGTTCTGTACTCAGGCTGCTTCCCACCGCTGCCACCATTACTACTGCTGCTACTGTTCTACTCAGGCTGCTTCCCACCGCTGCCACCATTACTACTGCTGCTACTACTGTTCTGTACTCAGGCTGCTTCCCACCGCTGCCACCATTACTACTGCTGCTACTGTTCTGTACTCAGGCTGCTTCCCACCGCTGCCACCATTACTACTGCTGCTACTACTGTTCTGTACTCAGGCTGCTTCCCACCGCTGCCACCATTACTACTGCTGCTACTGTTCTGTACTCAGGCTGCTTCCCACCGCTGCCACCATTACTACTGCTGCTGCTACTGTTCTGTACTCAGGCTGCTTCCCACCGCTGCCACCATTACTACTGCTGCTACTACTGTTCTGTACTCAGGCTGCTTCCCACCGCTGCCACCATTGCTACTGCTGCCGTCCTGTACTACCACCACCACCACCATGTAGTAGTTCCCCCACTATTACTACCACTATGTACCACCCCCCACCGTCCTCAACCAATCAAAATTTAAGGTCAAAATCACGTCGTTCCAGGAATCCGGCTGTGATACCGTCCGGCTGTGATACCGTCCGGCTGTGTGTACCTATCAAAGTTCAACTCTACTTAATCTCGAATTTTATTTAGAGCCGACCCCAGGGATGACAAGTCTTCAGCGGGGCTTTCTGCAGTGTGTAGGGTCCCAGAGAGGGGGAGTTATTTTTTTAGTGTTGATGATAGATTTGTCTCCTCCTTCTTCTTCTCTCCCTCGTCCTCCTCCTCCTCCTCCTCCTCCTCCTCCTCCTCCTCACCTCCTCCTCCTGCTCTTCCCTAGCTAGCTTCTCTTTTCCCTCCTCCTCCTCCTCCTCCTACTAACAAATCCACAAACAAATCATCTCTCCTCCTCCTCTCCTTCCTCCTCCTCTCCTTCCTCCTCTCCTCCTCTCTCCTCTCTCCTCTCTCCCCTCGTCTCCAGATCCACCAGCAAGTCGTCTGTCGCCTGGTAGTAACAAAGACATAAGACATTTCATCTGCCGTCACCCAGCACTTATCCCACTCAGCTCTCCCAACAACGTCTTGATCACAGCGTATTATGAGGCAATCAGTGGTCGCTCCCCCTACCTACCATCCCTCCCTTACCTCCCTACCTATCCCATATACTTCCCTTATCTCTGTTTTAACGTGTGTGTGTGTGTGTGTTTTATTCATTGACTTTTTATGCCTCTGTCTGACGTATTAGTTTCTCGGGTTGTACTTCAGCACATACCAGCGCTCTCTCTCTCTCTCTCTCTCACACATAGCAGCCCTCTCTTCTCCCCCCTGTACCAGCCCCCTTTCTCTCCCTTCTCCCCCTGGTACCAGCCCCCTCTCTCTCCCCTCTCCCCCTTGTACCAGCCCCCTCTCCCCCCGCCTTAATAGTCCTCTCCCCTCTCTTGAGTGTGTCCTCCAGGGAACAATCTACCGATATTAGGCTCCCGAGTGACCAGTTGTGGGCGTGTGGGCGTGAAGGTGACAGTGAAATCGAGTGTGTGTGTGTGTGTGTGTGTGTGTGTGTGTGTGTCCTATCAGGTACAGCCAGCCAGGCACTGTGCCATTGGCGAGTGCCACATATAACCATTCTTGCCTGACAGCCTCTCTTGACCGCCTTGCCCGTCTCTCCTCTTCCATCACCTACCTACTTCTCTTCCCCTCCTCTCCCCTCTCTCTTCTTCTTATCCCTCCCCGACATCCTCCACCACCTCCCCACCCCCTCCCACCCCCTCCTCCACCCTCCCTCCCACCCACCTCCCTCCCTCTCCCCACACCTCCCTCCCTCCACCCACCTCCCTCCCCTCCACCACCTCTCCACTCCCACCCACCTCCTCCCTTCCACCACCTCCCTCCCTCTCCCCACACCTCCCTCCCTCTCCCCTCCTCCTCCCTCTCCCCACCTCCTCCACACACGCACTTTATGAGAGCCGATCTCCTGCTTACCTCTTTTACCCATTTTTGGGGATTACATTCTCTCCACTACTTCGTCCGTTCCTGTTTCCTTTCATGTTTATCAGCGGAGACACACACACACACACACACACACATCACACACACATACACACCTGTACTGGACGACTTGACACCTGGGACATACCTGTAATGAGAAAATGACGTGTTAGAGTATGGCTAGAGAGAGAGAGAGAGAGAGAGAGAGAGAGAGAGAGAGAGAGAGTATTACAGATCAACTACGTAAATTACTTAATCCTTAAATGATACTTACAATATAAATAACACTTCAAACTTATCCATGGTTAGAAATTACTTAAGACTTATATTTACCATATCTAATACTGCAAGACGTACACGTGAGGATTGAGAAACGTTTATGAGTCGATTGGGAACGTTTATGAGTCGATTGAGAACGTTTTCGAGTCGTTTGGGAACATTTGTGTCGATTGGGAACGTTTATGAGTCGATTGGGAACGTTTATGAGTCGATTGAGAACGTTTTCGAGTCGTTTGAGAACATTTGTGTCGATTGGGAACGTTTATGAGTCGATTGGGAACGTTTATGAGTCGAATGTCAACAAGGGATGTACAATGCGCAATACTTGTTTATTTTGTCCCGTTGACTAAGCTCCTCCCCCCTACCTTTGGCTTCCTTAGCAACCATGACCATTCTGAGGAGTTGATTGGTCCTTGGTTGCTATGGGGGTCGTGACGTTACTACAAGCTGGAAATTCACGTTCATTATTTTCTCTTCTACTGTATGTTTGAGGAGAAGGAAGCGGAGGAGGAAGAGGAGGAGGAAGAAAAAGAGGAAGAGGAGGAATAACAGAAGGGGGAGGAGGGTAAAGAGGAAGGTTATATAGTTGATATGCCAATTAGTTCCGGATCTGTAGTCTCAAATTCCAAGTTAGGTAGAAGATATATAATAACGACACCAGACCTCTTAAGACCCAACTTGGAATTTGAGAATAATGGACAATATGGCCTCAAAACTGCCCTGAGACTTGACTGGTATGGGGTAAGTTGTGCTATGTAAAAAAAAAAATATTTATAACTCGTTGAAAAAAACTTATGAGCTAAAAAATTTACTTAATAGCTCACTGGTAAAAATTTGATAACTCATTGAAAAACTTATTAGCTAAATTAAAACAAACCTTAATAGCTCACTGAATTTTTTTAACTCATTGGAAAAACTAATGAGCTAAATTAAAAATTGAAAAATACTTTATAACTCATTGCAAAACCTTAAATAATTTGGCTCCCTTGATAACTACTGTCTGGTGGTTTAAGGTCAATGACCCCTTCAGTGATTCTGTTAATTCGCTCCCCTACAGTTAATAGCTCATGTGTTTACCATAACAAAACTCTTCCTGGGAGTTAGTAAGAGTGATGAGCATTATGGAGCTTGATGGTGGTGCTGGAGTGATGTTAGAGGAGCATAGTAGCGCTGAGGCGGCAGGGGAGCATTTTATAGGGGCGTTAGGATGGTGCTGGGGTGATAGTGGTGCAGGGGTGGCAGGAGAGCATTATTGAGGAGCGTGATGATGGTGCTTGGGTAACAGAGGAGCATGATAGCACTGGGATGACAGGTGAGCATTTTATAGGAGCATGATAATGGTACTGGGGTGACAGAGGAGCATTATTGGTAAACACAGTGGTGCAGGGGTGAAAGGAGAGCATTATAGAGGAGCATGATAATGGTGCTGGGGGTGATAGAGGGGCATAGTAATGCTGGGGTGACAGGAGCATAATGTCGCTGCGGTGACAAAGGTGCATTGTAGAGGAGCGTGATGATGGTGCAGGTATAATGGTGCTTAAGATTAATGTTGTTTGGATCATTAGCTTCTCTATTCCCAAGTGTCTCATCTCTCTCTCGTGTGTGTGTGTGTGTGTGATTGTTAAATGGTGACTGTGTGTACGTTACGAAATATATATTGTGTGTATGTGGTTCAGTTATTTTTATGTGTGTGTGTGTGTGTGGATTTTTTGGTAGCCCGTTGTGTGCACAGTTGTGTGTAACAATGTAGGTGACAGTATCAGCTTTTAAAAATAATATTTCATTCGTCATAGGAAAAACAAAACACCGATTCAGCTGACTATACACGATTGTTAAAACACACAACGCTGAAAATTTGATTGACAGGAGGCCGTAGAGCAGTGTGTGTGTGTGTGTGTGTGTGTGCAGGATCGCCCTCATCCTCTCCTGGACCACCTCACCTCGCCCCACACCCCCACCCTCCCCACCCTCACCTCCCCCCCACACCTCTCAGGTACGAATACAAAACAGCTCAAGACGCGGGGGTAGGGTCGGCCTGTTGCTTCATGTATTACTGGTTGGAGGAAATCACCGTGATGACCCTGTGGGAGTGTGTGTCTCCCCTCTGCCACCACCTGTGTGTTACCTCACTACATCTACCTGGGTCTTGTGTGTGTGTGTGAGGCAAGAGTGAGGCAAGATACCCTTATGAGGAAGTTGGAGAGTGAGGAGAGTGAAGCAAGACACCTAGTAAATATTTAGGTGCTCTCTCTCTCTCTCTCTCTCTCTCTCTCTCTCTCTCTCTCTCTCTCTCACACACACACACACACATCAGTATGCTGCCTCACGTAATGTTGTGTGCTGTATCATAAGAAGATTACTCCCTTTACGTATTGTGGCGGTGCTGGAGACACAAGACCTGGTGTGTGTGTGTGTGTGTGTGTGTGTGTGTGTGTGTGTCGTGTTATCTGGTCTTCGCTGTTTGTTTACTGTTCTTCTTCGTTGTCTTCTCCTTCGTCTTTTTCGTTTTCATCATCTTCTTTTGTTGTTGTTTGTTATTTTTATTATTGTTTTTGTTTTTATTATTTTGTTTATTATTTTTGTTGTTGTTAGTATTATTATTATCATCATTGTTATCATTGTTGTTATTTTTTGCGGTAGTAGCAGTAGCCCTAACAGTAGTAGTAGTAGCCCTAACAGTAGTAATAGCAGTAGTAGTAGAAACAGCAACATATTTAACTATACCTCGTCTGGGTACCACGAACCTTACCTACAGTACACACACTTTACCCTCTTAATATATAGTGTTACAGTATAATCCTCTCGCGGTAGAGTGCGTCAGAGCCGTCCTCAGAAACCGCTCGACAAAAACGCACTGAGTCTCTCACCTCGCGTTAAAACTTGTAATCTTCTCGAGTTCTCCATAATTATATATTCTTTAGAGTGCGTGGTTTAAAATATATATAACTGGGTGCGTGGTTTAAAAATGGCCGCTTAAAAAATGGCCGCTTAAAAATGGCCGCTTAAAAATGGCCGCTTAAAAATGGCCGCTTAAAAAAATAGCCGCTTAAAAATGGCCGCTGTCATGGGGTCGACGTGGTTTTATCATTCCCGGTGGCTGTGTACAGTTTATTTGGGGTATTTGTTGACATAAACCTTTTTTCCCCTGGGAGACCGTGTAGGGAGTGGATGAGAGAGTGTCTGTATGTTGGTTTGGGATTATTAAAGGTGTATAGAGTCAGGTAGAGAGGATAGGGTTGGTAATTTGCATATGGTGTGTGTGTGTGTTCGACGTGTGATGGTAGGGGTGTGTTACTGAGGTGGGGGTGGCGGAGAAGGTGTAGGGGTGTTTATGGGAGGGAGGATGTGTTACTGAGAGGGGAGTGGAGAGGGGGCGGCCATCGTGCCCTCAAAGGTTATGATAAACACTGCCTCAGCCACTCTCCTGCTGCCTGTTTACTTCATCTCTCACCTGTCTCACCTGGCTCCTGGTTACCTGTCTTACCTGTCTCACCTGGCTCGTGGTTACCTGGCTGGCTGGCCCTCCTTCGCTTCACTCACCCTACCCCTCCCCCTCCTCCCTCCCTCCTCCTTCCTTTACTTTATTCCTTATTCCCTTCCTTCCTTCCTTCCTTCCTTCTTCCTTCCTTCCTTCCTTCCTTCCTTCCTTCCTTCCTTCCAAGTCATCGACGCTAAAATATTCATAACACCAGACCTCTCCCTTAAAACAAATGCTAAGTTGATCGAACTATTACCACACTGTATTACTAAAAACGCCTTCATGGTGAACAGGAAAACCGGGTGATGTAAGTAGTGTGTGTGTCCTGTTCTGTACACCACACCCTACACATACCACACCCTCTACACCACACCCTACACACACCACACCCTCTACACCACACCCTCCACACCACACCCTCTACACCACACCCTGGACTAACTATCATATACAACTCTCAGTATCATATTACATAAAACGGATCCAAATTTATGGCTGTATTTCCATGAGGGGTCAACTGTATCACCTGTATTGACACTTTCCCGGGAGAAAATCATACATACATACATACATACATACATACATACATACATACATACATACATACATACATACATACATACATACATACATACATACATACATACATACATGTATTGGGTTGAGAGGCAATCACCTCTCATAAAACGTCAAGGTACAGAGGGAGGGAAGAAGGTAGGTGGTGGTGGTAACAGATGGTAGTGGTAACAGATGGTAGTGTGGTAACAGATGGTAGGGGTGGGGGCAGATGGTGGTAGTAGTGGTAGCAGATGGTAGTAGGTAACAGATGGTGGTAGGTGGTAACAGATGGTGGTAGTGGTGGTAACAGATGGTAGTGGTGGTAACAGATGGTGGTAGTAGTGTAACAGATGGTGGTAGTAGGGTAACAGATGGTAGTAGTAGGTAACAGATGGTGGTAGTAACAGGTGGTGGTAGTGGTGGTAACAGATGGTGGTAGTGGTGGTAACAGATGGTGGTAGTGTGGTAAAGGTAGAAAATAGATGGTGGTAGTAGTGGTAACAGATGGTAGTAGTAGTGGTAACAGATGGTGGTAGTAGTGGCAACAGATGGTAGTAAGCAGAAGGTAGGTGGTGGTGGTAACAGATGGTGGTAGTAGTGGTAACAGATGGTGGTAGTAACAGGTGGTGGTAGTGGTGGTGGAGGTGCAACACGCCCCCAGACTCCTCTTACACACTCCACCAACAGCTCTC